TTCGATCATTTAACTCAATTTAAAGTAATGAAAAAAAAAATCGTTTTTTTAAGTGCAATTTGAAGATTTCCTTGTTTTTTAGCTTGGCGAATTATTGGTCGTAGATGATCCATCAATTGCTCTTGCATTAAAAGTATCACGATATAAAGAGAATTTTACTTTTGATCCCATTGAAGATACAACGACTGAAACGACTACAGTCGAAACGATTGAAGAAGTAATTACTGTAAGATGTTGTTACCCAGGACGATAAATACGAACTCCGTATATACTCAAAAAACGACTGTATACATTTCGTATTTCATCGTATTCGCCCATGTTCTAGTGCAGTATATGACTCAGGAGAAAAAGCGTCTAATTGTTTAATCGATTTTTTTTTACCAAATCTAGAGGATTTTAGGTAATTGACCATGCTGATTTCATATACCGATACGAAATCGACAATTAGAACTTCAACTAGGGTCTTAGCGATTGGTCTCGTATTGATATTCGGAATATTTATGGTGGATTACTGACAACCCACTCGGTTTGGCGTAAAAAAAGCGAATAGACAGTTAGGAGCTTTTTTCTTCGTCTGTATTACGATCGTAATATTGGCGACGGAATCTTTCGAGGTATCAAACTGCTTTTCAACCGAGACGATATTTAGTGAATAATAGAAAATTCTAGAATGAGTTGGTTTTTCTAGTCTTCTTTTTTAAGATATCGAAATTTTACTGGATTTTTAATGAAAACCTGTTATCATTTTTTAGATCACTTGGAAAACCAACTTTCGAGTTTCGCCCGAACAAATTTCTTAATGAGATTAGTTCATTGAGCAAATTTTCTAACATTTCATATCCCAAGATATTGTCTCATGGGTAAAAAAAAAAAGAGATTTGCTCATATATTTATATTTTCAAACAGGAAATACTAATTACACAACCACCTAATTTCAATAAGAACTTTGTTCATACAAAGCTTGCAGTGCACCTGTGACAGTTCGCGATTAAGGAACTGAACTGGTGATCAGTTTTCTTTTTGACAAGTGAAACAAGGACTGAATAGAATTGCTACATTATCATTATCAGTAGACCGAGTTCATATGAAGATTATTAGTCATCGAACCGAATTCTCGAGAAAAAAAATCTGTCACTGGACCCAGCTTTCAAAAGAGAACCAGTTCTTAGAACTGTGAGCTGTCATAGATCTAGCTTGAAGTTGAAACTTGACCACAGGCTTTTGTTGAAAAACTCAGTAAATATTCGATGTATCAAGAACAAAGGCCCGGAAAACCAAATCATTCTAGACGTTTCTATTACTCACCAAATGAACACCATCTCGGTCGAAAAGTGATTTGCAACTTGGAAAGGTTCACTCGTGAGTCATGTAATACGCTAATATACTATAATTTATGTCGTTTACCAGCGTGCTTATTTGACCTGGGCGACCTTTTCTTTTGAATAATATATTTAAAAGTAACTTGCAGTAAATTGAACATTTTATGTTGATCGACATCAGGGTAAAGTCATGAAAAATCGTTTTTCTTTCCGAAACTCATGTTCGTAAAGTTTAATTCATTCGAGATGCAACAATGACAGTGATTACCACTCTTAGTTATAGCGCGGCATCGATCTAAACTCATCAGTATAGAATAAGAGTGAACTCATGGCAAAACTACCATGTTATTAGATTCGTTTGGACTTTTTACGTTTGGAGAGACTCAGTTTCAAGAAAATGGCTGAATTTCTGTATCACGAAAACCTTTAGTATCGTTTTATAAAACTCAGCTATTTTCTTAAAACATCCTTCCCGACTAAAAAACTCGAAGCTAATCCAAGACTACTATAGTTTTATCAAGCGTTCACCGCTAGTCTACAACATAAATGTTTAGTTCAGTGCAAAACTACACTTAACACTGCTGTACTGCTGTCACAATTGTATCTCTAGCTCTCATTGTTACATAATTTCCTTACCCATTCATAGACTAATTTTTATGTTATCCAAGGAATCATTGACATTTAAAAGTGTTATGATTGTTAGGCTTCTTTCAAATAAAAAATAACAGATGCTTAGAAGATAAAGGCTATGGATTCCGATTGATTCTTTTGACTGAAGAAGTCCAGTATTTTTCTTTTTCCTATATTTGGAAATATTCAGAAATAACTCCTTATTTACTTATTAGTTACTAAACTATACAGAAAAACTACTTGTAAACAGTCTTGCTCCACCATTTGAGTATAGAAAAGAACAGCTCTAGACTAGAATAATCACAAAAAGATTCGAATTAATTGATTTTCTCTACAGCATTACGACAGTGTTGATAGCTTTCTACTAAAAGGTGAGATATGATCAAGAAAATTGAACAAAGAATCAATCACTTAAAATTTTGTCAATAAATGCATTTAATAATCTTAAGAGTACTCTAATCGGTTATGTCAAAATGATTTTTTTCTTGTTCAAATATTTAAAAATTCAATTATATCTCATAAACGATCACAAGTAGAAGTATTCCACTTAAACTTGAATAAAAAAGAACGCGTACTTGATACTTTTATCTGAAGTATAAATAAACCAAATTTTATCAAAAAAATCGACTACCTTTGATAAGATTTTTTGAAAATCATTATGATGCCATCTGTATACTGTCAAACAGCTACTTGACTAAATAGTCTTGTTTTTATGTAGCATTAAAAATCAAAGAATTGAAATAAACATGAATTAGAACCAAGTGAACAATTTTAAAATTTGATAAAAGACATGTGAGTAAGGATACATAGGAAAAACTAATAATTGTGTAGTAATTTAGAGGTTGAATAGGTGAAATCCAAAGATTATTGCTGATGCTTGACATGTCAGATGCCTTTTTTTTAATGGAACAAAAAATATTTGGTCAGTAAAATAGATGAAATGATCAGTATGTTAAATAATAATAAAACCAGTTAATAAAATTTACTAACAATCAATTAAATCAATGGACAAAGGTAGAAATTTACATGCGTAAATAATGTGATTCACGTTTTTTTTTTTCGTTTTCTTTTCGTCGCTTAACTGTACCATGTAGTAGCATTACTACGTACGATACACCTGTAAACACTCTTTGCTTCTATTCTTTCCTTCGATTTAAGCTTGAAACCTACGAGTAGAAAAGATCAATGTGATTACAAGTTGCTCAATATGAAATCGATGAAATAATGAAACTGAGAGACCTTGCCAAAGAAAAAGAAAGAAATCAAACTATTAAGTTAGCAAAGCTATATTTAATCATGTTGATGGAGCAGAAGCATCGATTAAAAATGAATGACACAGAAAACGGGAGAACAGTTTATTACAAATGCAACAAAGTCAAGCATCACGCGTCTTAACGTAGAGCAAGTATTTATCTTCTATATTATAAAGACAGAGAAATAATTTAGTGTTTATAAAGCTGAACCTAAGCACGATGATCATCAGAATGTGTGGATATGAATGAAATAAAAACCTATTCTATAGAGATATAAAAAAAGCTGTTAGTGCAATCTATGTCGAATTAAAATTTGAAATACGATATAGTCGCTGTTGCTAATCATAAGGAGATTGTTTTTTTCTATCTATGTTGAAACATATTTCTTCACCATCATTTTACTTAATCGTCGAGAAATGCAATATCTCTAGCAAGCATCTATTACGGTTTGTGAAAGGTCCAAAGTTTAAGTTCTAGACTTCAACAGTTCTTTTAGATCGGGCTTCACAAAAAAAATTTAACTGATAAAATCTATATTTTTCAATTGTCGAATTCACAATTTTTATTGATATAAAATGTAGTTTTTAGTATCAAGTGTATATAATAAACTGATCATTTTGTAATGAAATATTGATAATTCAAGTATTAACCACTTAAATTACAGTCATTTGTAATTTATTGTGTTTGTAAGTTTTAATGTTATTATTTCATTGTTTTCTAAAATAAAATAAAGAAAATGATACATTTACATTTCCAACTATCGGTACAGGTCGGAAAAGTTGTACCCATGCAGCACTCTAAATATAATTATAAACAAAGTTTTAATTAAAAAATTTCTTTGTTCAATCTCCTTGGTAATATTTTTGTCCTACGATTAGAGTCCATCGGATTCAACATTTTCAGATTCGGACTCGATCGAACCGTACTTGGATACTTTCAATGAAATTCTCTAATCAGAATAAGATAGCAGTCCCAATGAGCTCTAAATATGATAACAATCCAACAAAATTTTAGCAACATTCTAGAAGAGACTTATAAATCCGAATTCTTTTTAGGAAGTAATCTAGTTTAATTAACTGATGTAATATTTGTAAGCTACATGATAAAAATCGTAATCGCATAGTTTAGAAGAGCTCTATTATGTCTTTTAACGGTGGATTTATTTTTGAGAACAAATAAAGTAACATTCTATTGTTAACATAATATAGTTTGAAAATTAATGTCGATCACGATTATTACACTTAGACTTTTTGCTATTATTAGTAACATCTATATCAGGACACAATAAATATTGAAAAGATCTATTTTACCATATTCCAATTCCGTTCTCTATTCAATTTCTTAGAACATAAATTAACTGGGTTTCACTGTCAAAAAGTTAACGAGATAATTATAGACGTTAAATGTTTAGTCTCTAAAATAAATCAACATACATCCAAAAAGATGAATAATTCTTTTTTTCCATATTCATTTTTTTCTTCTCTAGTTACATGGTAGCGATGGTGGTCGAACTGAAGAAGTCTATCGAAAAACAACAACGATAGCAACAAATGTTACATCAAACGATTAATTGTTATAATACAAAACAAAAGACCAATGTAGATAACCAGAGAAAAGACTCATTGAACTATTGTTTGCTATGCCGGTGTGCTCAGTTTCTTCCGTTCTTCTATAACGAAAAAAAAAAAAAAAGAAAGACAACATAACACACATGATTAATTAAGCTTTATCTTTGCTCATAAATATACTATCAGATATTCCAAAAATAAATAAAAAAGAAACAAACATTGTTTTAGATATGTCTATCGTATTCTTTTCATCTAATAGATCATATATAATTTGTCGTCATTTATTCACACTAATTGTACGTCAAAATTCGAATCGATTATTATCAAATTTAGCTTATACTTCAATACAAAGAAAAGTTAATCATCATAATAAACGTAGTATTACATTAAATGCACCACCAATCAATGAAAAACAGACATCATCTACACGAAACGATAAAATATCTTTTCAATTTCCACCTGGTAAACCGAATGATAAACCAACATTTGAACATTTACATTATATTGAAAAGCAACTTAAACAAATCGTAAATAAATTATATATTTTTAATTCTTTACATCTAAATGTTGTTTTTTTCAGTTACCAGAATTTTGCAAACGAATGCATCCATATGCGCTCTATACAGCCGATATGATTTTTGAAAATTATTATCAAGATACACCGAAAATTATTAAGTATGCAAAGAAAAAATTTGATTTAAAAACAAATAAATCAATCAAATATAATGAAACTAACAGTCACAATCGTTTAACAGATTGATATTTACTAGATTTATTATTTGATTACAACCAATATTTGTCGTATCTGTTTCATTGATGTTTAAAGTCTAATGTTGTAATGATCTACAGACAAGCTCTAGTGATATATCAGCTATACTTTATGTAGATCATCTAACTGATAATCTATCAACTACTTTTCTTTTGTATTTGATAATGGGTGATGCAAAAATTCTGCATTCATTTTATTTTTAGTATAGCGTGACAACAACTCATCGTAGTGACTTGACAGTTTTCTTTCAGAAAGTTGTTCTTATTTTATTACTTTTATTGAGTTTTATAGTAGCATGATAAAGCATTGTCAATAGACAAAAGATAAAATTTTCGAGGTATCAATTGAGCTCGAAGTTGACATTTTTATAATGATCTTTGCTTTTAATCAATATTTTCAAAAAGCAAGATTTTATTGCTGCAGTCGAAATTATTCAAAAGACCATATTTTACATCCAATTTGAGTTTTGTGAGGCTTCTACAAAAACGAATATTAGACATTATGACAAAAAGTTTATCGGACATTGTATGAAATGAATCAAGTTTTCACTAATACTATTTCTTAATGTTTTGTAACTCAAATAGTTTAATGTCACTGCATTGGTTATATTTTTACGTAACGTGCTTGACAATTTCGAAAACCGAATGCATAACAAATCTCATCACTGATTTTCTGTGAAGTTGCAAGCACTATTTTTTAAGCCAAACATATTCTTGACACAACTTTGCCCTTTCTAACACGACAACTATCAAGTCTCTCCGATGAGTTGTTGCCACGCTATAATGAAATTAAAATGGATGCAGAATTTTTACACCATCTGTTACTTCCAAGTTGCTACTACACACATTTTTAAAAGGAAAATATTCGGTAGCATTACAGATGAACCGTACGATGCTTGAGTTCCGATTAGAGATGTACGGGAATAGGAACGAAAAATAAGCTTTACCGAGAGTGGAACTGAAATTTATAGTAAAATATTTGATGATTTTTAAGCAAATTATCTTATCAATCATATGACACGGAACATAATTCAAAAGAGATGACCCAAAAAAGTACTAATCTTAGACGAAATAAACCAAAAATAAGAGTATCGAAGAATTATTGTAGATATCATACGAATAAATCTCTGCAGAGACTTTCTCTAGATCAGGATCGAGAGCTGAAAAACCAAAATCACGAAAACCAGAACCACTAGAAAAGAAATTGTCGGAATCCAAAGAATTGTTCTCACACATCTCTAGTCTCGGCAGATGAGCATAGCATAGGGAACATCGTCTATATTCGATTTACTCGTATGAATAAGATTAAAAGTTAAAGGTCTTGGTCTTTTGAAAGATTTGTTTCTTGTTTGTCTATCAAATGGAGCGATTATGTTTTCTAGTTATTTATTCATGTGTTTATAAGCAGTACATATTTAGCCATATGTTATTTTAGATTGCAATCATTTAAGCATAAGCTAATGCCAAGAACTTGACTTCTATAAATCATCTACTTTAGAATCTATTCAAAACTTTCATATTGAAAAACATGCAACATTCATTATATCGGAAAAGTTTCAACGTAAAATAACGAGGGATTATATAGGTTCTACTTATGAACATATGAATGAATAAACAAAAATATTTCATAAATGCTTTTCATAGAAAACAAATGGCTATACTTTCATTAGACGAAAGGTTTTTGTGAACTGTTGACTTCAATAATCATCTGTATGATTAAGCTGAATTTACACAGTGTTCTCTATGTTGGACACAACTGTTGTATGCTCAACAGGGTCAATGTACCGAGAATATGTTGTAGTTTTATACATTACAACAACAGAAGTACCTATAACAATACAATAGTACAAAGTATGCTGCTTTCCATTTAGTTAAGTGTCAAGTTGGAGAAAGACAGTCAGACAAACTATGCATTAAGAATAATTTCTGAAAGAGCAAGAAATAAACAAAGAAAATATTTCCAGATATAAGTCAATGTCAAGTATTCCATATACTAAATTCATTCATATCGGCATATTAAAGATGACTTAATAATGAATATTTAAGTTTTTAATGAATTTTATCTATGAAAAAATGATTGAAATCTATATAGATATTCTCAGTAATTAGTTTTTGTTGACAAAGGTTGTATTTTCATGGCTTATTATTACATTGAAATTATCTAGAATAAAATAGAAATATGACAAGTTAATCTTATGAATTAATCGACTAATTCTTTTTAAATGAACTTGAGATGATTGACAAATTTGTATCAGATAATTTCATATGACGTTGTTACATAAAATATTAAAACTTTGTCTTATTAGAATAAAGTAAAATTAGTTGATACTTCTATGGATTTTTCTTGGTGAAAGAAAAACCATTTTGAAGAATGTTTATAGCTAAGAATAAATTATTTTTCCAAGATTTGAAAACTAAAGGTTTCATGAAACATGTTGAAATAATCCTTATTCACTTTGCTAACAATAATAATTGTTCTTTTTTTATCTAAGAAAATAAAAGGAGTTTAATTCTAGAGGAGTTGGTAGTTATGCTTTATCGTTATTTTGGATTCGACTAAAATTAAATTTTAAATTAATGAATTTGACTATTCATTTACTTAAAACAACTATTGATGAAGAATCAAATTGTGTTAAAATTCGTTGGCGTATATCAGGTCTAACAAATAAATCTTTTGTTGGTATTCTTAAAGGTTGGAAACAACCAAAAGATGTAGCTGGAAATATACGTGATTATGTTGAGTAAGAATTTTATAATTAGAAATGTTTTTTAATCTTCTTTTATCAAAGATATATTGATGGTCTTTCAACATTTTATGTACGTGGCGATGGTCGGATATATAATCATCGTGTTGATCGAGTAAATTAATTAATATTTTACGTTGTTGTTGTTGTTTTTTTGTTTTAAAAAGCTTTTTTTTTAAGGTAACAATCCCTGAAAACGATGAATCTGCTAAAAAGTTATTAAATAAAAAGAATTAACTGTGACAGTAGCTGTCACTTTTACAGCTGTTTTAAATAGTACATCATAAACAATGTGTGTTGTTGTTTTGTTTTTCAGATCAATTATTTGTTATTTGTATAGATTATTTAATTATATTCATTTACTATATATCAAATAAAAAGCAGGTAAATAAAATAAATAATAAGATAGCGTTCTTTTTGCATGCCCATTTGCCATGATTACTAGTCGATGTAAAAAAATTATTGTGCTTTGTTCCTCTCTTGAGACTGATGTTATGCTAGTAAAATAGTGGAATTAAGTAAGACTGGCATGTTTTGCCTCGTATTTTTTCTTTTACATATATTATTTAGTGGTGTTCGTCAAGCGAGGAAAAAAAAGGAATGTTTCATGCTCGATGAAAACATTCTTTCGAGATAATTTTGTTTTTCTTTTCTCTCTATGGATATATGACGTAAGTTAAGTATTTGATATTAATTATTTTTATGCAAAAATACAGCTTAACAATATAGATCTTTTAAGAACTTTGAATTCACTTTAATAAGAAATCTTTGTTTGGTTTTTTGATGGCAACAAATCGCGCTACAGACGTGGGACGTAACTTAATGGATGATATCAAAAATACTGTAACCATACCAGTACGATTTATAGAACGAATTATACCAGATGTGATATTGAAAACCCTTTCTACTAGTGGTAAGATTTACTAGAACTAATCAAACATACCGGTTATTTAACACTGACATATACTATATATTTACATATATACATATCTTCAATTTTTACACTCTATATCGTGCTTTTAGTTTAAGTAATAATAGTGATGAGTGACCTTTCGAATGTCGCAAGGTATTTTCACTGAAATATGAATAAGAAAAGAGAAGAAAAAGAAGAACAGATTCTTTTTTTCGAATCGTTCTTCCATGTTACCGCATTCTGACTCTATCTCAGTCCACTTGTTTGCGTTGTTCTGTTTTTTTTTCATCTCTTTTGGTGTCTTTGGCTATTTCTCTTGTTCTTTACTTCTTTTGCCGTCGATAACTAAAGTAGTAGAGATGCCACATCGTATGCGTAAGATTGTTTCAAGGTGTCGTCCACCATTTATTGGAACACGTCGTGATCGGCATAAACATGGTTCTACTCATCATTGTATGTATCAAAGTAGTTTAAGTTGTTTTTCTATTACTGTTATTTGATGACAATGACAATATTGATAATCAATAGTCAATATCGTTATTTGATCATTCCTTAGTTTTTTTTTTCTATTTCTTTCATCGATTATGAAAGGTCATATACATATATTAGTGAATAATTTTGTTATACTGTATTATAATCAATGAGTTTCCAAGAATTTGTTTTTTTGCTTTTATTTTAATCTTGATTTAAACAAGCTTATTTATTAAAATATGAGTGTGCTTCAAGCAAAACATATCTGGCCATAATAATTTTATTAACAACAACAATAAACAGATAGTAAAGCATGCAGTATAGAAAAAAAATCCAGTCTTTCTTATTCAAAAACTTACCCTGTTTAAGTGACTATTATCATCAGAACAGCTGCTTTAACAATAAATATAAAATATCTACAAAAAAAAAAAAAAGAAAAAGAAAACTAATAATAATAAATCTTTTTTTTTTCTTTTATTTTATTTCTTAGATTCCAATAACAATAATAACACGGGTACTAATTTTACTACGGTTACTTCCGATAATGCTCAGACGACGAATAATTCTAATTCAATATTAAAATATTCACCTCAATTATCAACTCACTCAAGTAATAAAGATTGTGGTAAATACTATAGATAAAAAATTAATGAACAACATAAAAATAAATAATTCAACGTTCTGTTTTGTTTTGTTTTTTTTTTTTTGTATAAAATAGATAGTCAATCTATTTCATTATCATCAAACTATCCAGCAATATCACATACAATGCAAAATACAGCTAGTTCATCTAATTTAGGTACTATAGGTACGGGTATTGTACCACCACCAATGCATTATCAACAGCCGCAATATATGCAATCAACAACACCATCAGTTGCAAATGGAAAAGATGAAATGCGTGGATGGTTATATAAATGGACAAATGTACAAAAGAAAAACACAAAAATCTTTCTTTTCTTATTCAATAAAGTTCATTTTTTTTTGTCTTTAGTATCTAAAAGGTTATCAAAAACGTTGGTTTGTTTTACAATCTGGAATATTATCATATTATCGTTCACAAGATGAAATGACACATACATGTCGTGGTACAGTTTATCTTGAATCAGCACAATTATCATCAAATGATTCATGTCATTTTGTTATATCAAATGGTTCAACTATAATACATTTACGTACAAGTAATGAAAATGATAAACAACGTTGGATGAATGCATTAGAATTAGCTAAACAAAAAGCATTAAAAGTACGAAAACAATATCAAGATTCTGATGATGAAGGATTAACAAATGATGATTTAAATAAACAACAACAAGATAATTCACATGATCAAACAAAACAATCAACAAATACAACAGATCGAGCCGAATTAGCAACAATGAATAAAACATTAGATTCAAAATTAGATGATCTTAAAATGTGTATGGATTTAATAAATCGTCATTATCAAGCACTTCATAGAACACTTGCTGATCTTGAACAAATTGATAAATCGGAAGCAACTATAAATACTATTAAAAGTGTTAATGAACGTGCTACATTATTTCGTATTACATCAACAGGTAAACAAGTTTAGTCGAGATGAATACTTTCTTTTTTCTTTACGACTTCCATTAGTTACAAGGAAGATTATATAAAGAACAAAGAGGACAATGTTTTTAAATTTCTGAGCGTTTGACAAATAATCATCTACTTTAATACTATTTCATTTCAGTAAGATATTTAAACACATCGAATTTTTAATGACCAAATCTTACTTGTATAACATTTATAATTAAAGGCTTTGCTTTTTATTTGAATGTTTCATCAATCTTTTATTCTCTAAGCTGAAAAGTAAATCATTTTTTAAAATTTTATATTTTATTTAAGCAATGCTTAACGCATGTCAAGAACTAGTACAATTAATTCAAAAACAAGGTCGTAAATGGCAAAAAGCTATTCAATTTGAACGTGACGCACGTATACGTATGGAGCGTATGTGTGAAGAAGTTGCATCACAAAGTGCTAAATTAGAAAAAAGAATGCACCGTGCATCGCGTAAAGATCAAAGTGCAATAAAAACATCTGATATACGTAACACTAATGAAGATAGTCTTTCATCTGATAGTGATGAATTTCATGATGCTGAAAGTGCTTTTCGTATTCCGTATGTTACAAAAAAAGATAAAAAAACATTATGAAACTTTGCATTTCATTTTTATGAATTTTTACAGACTTCAACAACACACATCAAATGATGACAATAAATCCAATATTGTTGATGATGATGTAAGTTCATATGGTGATGACGATGATGAAAGTGAATCAGAAGAACGAGAAGAAAATTTACCTGTAGTTATTGTAAAAAGTATGTTTAAAACAAAATATTTGTTCTACTATTATGAACTATTTAAAAACCAAAAAAAAAAATCTTAAGGATCAAAAAATACTGGTACAGCAAATAATATTCCATCAACAACACCAACGGTTAAAACTACAAATAATGTTCAAAGAACTACTACATCAAAACGTAAACGTCGTGATCGTATTCCAGAACGTCCGAATTATAGGTTTAATTATTTTAAATCCATTGTAAAAATATTATTGAGATTTGTTGTTTTTTTTTCTGTTTTCATTTAGTATTAATTTATGGAGTATAATAAAAAATTGTGTTGGAAAAGATTTATCAAAAATTCCAATACCAGTTAATTTTAGTGAACCATTGTCAATGTTACAACGTATAACTGAAGAACTTGAATATAGTTCTGTACTTGATGCAGCAGCTAAAACAAATAATAATTGGGAACAATTAGCATATGTTGCTGCATTTACAGTTTCATCATATTCAACAACAGCAACACGAATTAATAAACCATTTAATCCATTACTTGGTGAAACATTTGAATGTGATAGAACAGATGATCTTGGATGGAGATCAATGGCTGGTAACGAATTTTGTTTTGTTTTTGATTGTAAGTTTTTAATAGAATATATATTCTTTATTTAGAACAAGTCAGTCATCATCCACCAGCTGTTGCAACACATTCTGAAGGACAAGGATGGACTTTATATCAAGAATTTACAATGGGATCAAAATTTCGGGGACAATATTTAAGTATAACACCATTAGGTAAGATTTCTTTGCTATTTAATAATATGTCAATAAAGATCTTCTCAAGTTACAAAAACAAATTGCGCTACTCACTAATCCTCAATCATGACTCGAACTTTTTGAATTCTTACTCAGAATAAAATCACTTTTTACAAAAGATTCTACTTTCAAACTCTTGTAAAAAAAATTATTCAGTCAATAAATGTTCAAAATTTGTTAGAGTATTCATTTTTATACAGATTAGAAATGTGTGATACGAATTTTACTCCCGGCCTCGGTGACCGAAAGATCACGAGAAAAAAATGTTCGCCGTCGAAACCGGAATCGGAGCTACGAGAAAAGAGTTGTCCCTACCGGAACTAAATATTACAGTTAAATATTTGATGATTTTAAGTGAGTTATCTTGTAAATCGTATTAATCAGGACATAACTCAAGAGAAGAGACCTGGAACACAAGAGAGGACGCTAGTCGTCGACTAATAAATCAAGAAAACAAGTATTAAAGAATTTATTTAGATGTGATACGAATAAATTCTTAACCAGAACCAACTGAAATGAAGTTACAAACCAATAAAACTTGATTCTACACATCACTAATCCACATTTATTATTAATCAGAGTGAAATGACTTGAAACTTGTGGAACCAACTTTGTAATTGATGACAACAGTCGAGATCATGAGAAAAATATTTTTGGAACCAGAACTAAAAATTATTGTTAAATGTTTCGTGATTTTAAGTGAATTATCTTATAAATCATACCTATCAAAATATAATTCACAAGAGATGACAAATTACATTACCATTTATCGGCAAAAATATAAAAAAAGCTAAAGGGAGTATTGAAGAATTTCTTTAGATATAATACGAATAGTATTATTAAGACTAAGATCAAATGAGATTTATCGAGACTATGACCAGAATGACTCAAAAAGAAATTATTGTTTTCTTTTAATGTGAGAAATATTCAAAATATTTTGTATTTTTTAAAGAAGCAATTTTTGACGAATGATACATTACAAGAAAAGTAGCTCTTCCGAAAAATGCGAAACTTTTGAGAAATTTGAGATTTCGATTATTGTAATAACTCATTTCGTAAAGAATATAGAATGTTCTACAGTAATGTCCAATTACAACTGTTCTCAAATAGCAGAAATCGTGCAAACCAAGAATTACTCTTGTATTACACATTGTATTTTTTACGCATATCATTTTGGACAAGACATGGACAGGATCGAGACCAGGAATATGCTAGATTCACTGTAACTACGATCGGACCTACTCAAACAGAAACTACCAAAACTAAAAAACTTGCTTCCATACATGTTTATTTTGAACTCTTTAAAAAAATTTTCTCATAGTTGACGTCGAAGTTTTTTTCTAACAAATTGCTTTTAAGTGTCCGAAAAATAAGTGAACATATTATGCAAAGATTTTCGCACAGTAGATTAAAAATGACAGATCGAAGAAATTCTCGTTTTCTTTTTCTACAAACTGTCTATAAAAAATTTTAATAATACACCTTTTGAGATCTACTTTAAATATTTATTCGATAAATAGAAATTAATTTTAATTTCAGGTTATTCTCATCTTATATTCAAAAATACTGGTAATCATTTTACATGGAAAAAAGTAACTACACTTGTTAATAATATAATTGTTGGTAAACTGTGGATAGATAATGTATGTTAAATACTAAATTTGAATTTAAATTCTATAATATATATTCTTTTGTTTTTTTTTTGATTATAGGTTGGTGAAATGGATATAATTAATCATACAACAAAAGATACATGTAAATTAAAATATTTTCAATATAGTTATTTTTCAAAAGATGTTCCACGTAAAGTAACCGGTGTTATAACTGATTCAAATTCTCAAGCTCGATGGGTATTATCTGGTAAAATGAAAACAAAATTCGATTATTTCTATTTTTTTTGTATTAATTATTTTTTTTTTAATTTTCAAGGTACATGGACAGAAAAAATTGAAGGTGGTCCTGTTGAATCAACATCAGATCATAATACACATTCTCATCATATGGAAACACATAATATGAAAGTATTATGGCAACGTAAAATGCCACCAGCATATATGGAAAAAATGTATAATTTTACTGAACTAGCTATTGAATTAAATGAAGATGAACCAGGTGTTGCACCAACTGATTCTCGTCGTCGTCCAGATCAACGTTTAATGGAAGAAGGACGATGGGATGAAGCAAATCAAGAAAAATTACGTGTTGAAGAAAAACAACGGCAAACAAGAAAAATCCGTGAAGTACATGGAAGTGGAACCGATTCATATAAACCAAAATGGTTTATTAAACAATTTGATTCCATGACTAATTCAGACGTGCATGTATTTACAAATCAATATTGGGAATCTAAATTAAAACAAGATTGGTCTAGATGTGATGATATATTTTAACCATACAAAAAAAAAGAAATATTATAATTTATCCAAATCATCTATTACTTTTTTCGGCTTTTTTAATTTATTATTAAATAGAAACTGTTTTGTTCTTTTTCTTTTTCATATTTATCGTCTGCTATATTCATTCAATGCAAAACATCTGTTCTGCTTTCTATGATTGTGAATTTTTTTTAAAAAAAAAAAGAAAGCAATTTATGTAAAGAAAGAGAGAAAAAAGAGAGTTTGGAAAATAACAAGTAAATATTATTTGCTGAACTCTCTTGTTGCTTTTTTTTATTCAATAATTAATATTTTAGATAGGATGGACAAAAGAGATAAAACAATTTATAGAATAATTTGATTTTGTTTTTCTTATATTCGTTGCAATCAATGGAATCATTGTATTATAATTTGTTCATAATGATTAAGTTTACATTGATGATTCTTATTTCTTATTGTTCAGCGACGAACAATTCATCTTTTGGTATGTATCAAATCAATCTTAAAGCTTTTTGTTTAAATACAAGTTGATGATTCTTTCTGGTTTGAATGCTGACATTAGACGAAAAAAAACAACGCAGTTTTTTTATGCTACTTCTAGCTATGTAGAGACAATTGAATTTGAATCTGGATATGGCTTAAAACATGAATATATATATATATCGGCAAAAATTCGTAACGCGTCAACTCTAGTGCCGGAAAATTAAAAAACCGAGTTGTAATATCAATACTTCCGTCAAATAGGACCTAGCCCAAAATATGCGAAATCTCTTCTTTGTTCTAAGAAAAGGTGGTTCTGCTCACATTTGTCAATCATCAATAAGATTTCGATAGGAAAAAAGAGAGCGCATTTTACTGATTTTCGTNGAGATACTTCACGGTGCATACCAGTTGATAGAAAATTATTAAATGACAAAAGTCCACTTTTGGTTTTGGCCAATTGATCCAAGTCGGCTTTCAGCAGTTCTTGGCCACGATAAGTAGTAAACAAAGTTGCAGTTGAATGTCCAAAAAAACTGGTGAGCATGAAGCTTGTCGATGTTGTTGGGGAGATCACGAATGAAAAACTTCATTCTAATGATGAGACCGATTTCCATCATTCGTAATGATCTATTCAACATCGAACAAAGAAAGCATGCATATGTATACCATCAAATTGACTGATGGTTATGGTATTCTTGTTCGAGTTTCACTAATTTTTGTAGTTGTTTTGGCTTCGCGGCAAATAATTGATGACAATAAGTGGTGAATTCATGTATGTGTTGTTAATTGAAATCGATGATTAATAAAATTTTCTTCATCATTTATGTGTACATGAACGACGAATCCAGTTGATTGACGTTTTGCTTAGTAGCTCCACTACTGTTGGTGACAAAGCTTATAGAAATTATGTTTTGATCACATTCTTGTGCCGCTTGTTGAAGGCGTTTACAGATTGAAGCAATAGTCTGTATAGATTCCTTTATTTTTGGCCATTCTTTGATGCATCTTTCATATCAAGCTTGGTTTTCATTTAAAATATATGTCGTATCGATTTGTGCAACGTCTTGTACGGCTGGAACAGTTGCTTATCCAAAAATACCAGAGACGATCACAAATACTTTTTCTTCTTAAATATCGGTTATAAAATCGATACATTCATTCACATCAGTGAATGGATGTCTCTTATTCACCATTTCTCTTAATTTGTTGATGGTATTAATAGAGTCCTTGTTGTTCATCTCATCGATACTGGCTTCGAGCCAAATCAAGATGCAGTTCTGAACCGTACGAGCATCATGAAGTTGTTGTGACTTTATGCTTCCATGTTCAGGTGACGTAGCAGCAACACTTGTTGTTATTGTCAATTTTTTCTTTTTTTGTCCATGGTATGCGTGGTGTTTTATCAATGCAACAAAAATAAAATGACTTGACCTTATACAGTATGTTAGAATCTTTTCTAAATAGATGTTTTTATTTATCTTTTATTGTTGTTTCTGTCTAGATTTTTTTTTTGTTTCACTTAAATGCTTTACTCCTTTTTGATTGTCTTCTCTCATACCACTAGTAAGTGAATCAATGAAAAAAAAATTATTGCAATATAATTTCATACACTATGTCATATTTCACTTTGTTTTTCTGATGTCAGAATTTTTTTTCTCGTTTTTCTCATGTGACCGTAAATAGATTTATACATAGAAACAGAATAGTACATGTTGCTGTTTGAAAATGAATGATGAAATTCTTATATAAGTAGGTTTTTTCTGCTCAATTGATCGATCAGCATCATAGAAAGTCGATAAAGTATAGGTAGACGGTTATTATTGTTATTAAAAAAAGTTTGTTTTTCTTTCATGTTCTCGCATTATCATTAAGGAAAAATAAAATGAAACTATTATCATTGATTTGTTTCGAAACAGAGGCTTAACGTCGATGATATTTTCTATGATTACTTGATTATGTTATTGTAATTTACATCCAGTTTTAAAAGTAGTTCGTTTTATATATGCACGGCGAGACCTAAACTGAAATCATTATTTATGAGATTGCAAAACTTTCGGATTAGTCGAAAAAACAGGTTTCCGTATTATTCAAAATAGAATAATGAGTTTAATGCACGTTTAATGATATAGACGATACAACCAGTCTTGTGCCAATTGAGATTCATTGAATGTTATATTGTAAACCCATTAAATTCATGGTACACAAATGCACGAGACTATTTAACAAAGTTTTCATTCATTTTGTATTATTCTTTTAGTCTCCGTTTGATTCTGATTCTCTACCACTGAGAGAAATAGAATGCTGCTATCAAAAATAATGTATTTGCAATTGACTATATATATGATGGAATTTGTTTCAACAACTTTTAATAGATCACATCGTATACAACAAAAGTTCATGAGAAATTTCTGATCTATTGTTATTATATGTTATACTCGAAAAGAAAAGAATTCATCATGTATCTACTTAAAAGAAACTCTGAAGTCGAAGCAACTGAGATATCGATCTTCTCTTAAACTCTCTTTGAAAAAACAAGAACCATGACGTAGTTTTCGTTTATCCATGAAAAACAGACATATACTTAACCAGCAGTGTGAGCCCTGTAACAATACTTAGCAGTTTTGATCAACCAGAAAATATATTAAGTAAATTATATACATGCCTAGTCATAACGATTAAAGTTTCGTATGAAATACAAGACTCACAAATACATTTTGAATTTCAATGCTTCGGATTGTGGTAATTCGAAGAGAACAAAATGTACATGTTTTTTTTCGCAAACATCTATTTATATCTAGTTAAAGTATTGTTAATGATTCGTGATTGAATCAAAAATTAATAACAAGTGATGAAAATCATCGAATACAAAAACTTTTTGATGAACAATTAAAATGCAATTATATGAGTTCAACAATTATTATTATGCTCGTTTTTTTCAGAAAATATTAAAAAAAAACCAATTGAATAAAGATATTATTTAATATGGAAAAGAAATTTTCATCTGAAAAAATATCTTAAGTATAGTTCTTAACCAAATATTATATCGAATCACAAATAAACATTCATTTTGCTAGTTCTTCGACTATTTTTCGTACATCATCAGCAAGTTTATCTGCATCAGCTTGTGTGACTGCTTCAGCATAAACACGTACAATATCTTCTGTACCTGATGGTCTTAAAAAGAAATAATCGATTATAATTAATAAGAAAAAAGAATTACTATTTTGTTTTTCTTTACCGAACAAATGAACGACCTGATGGATATTTCGAAACAAGCTCATCAATACAATCTTGTAAATGAGCAGGAGCAATACAGCGTCGTTCAGCATCTATTGTTTGAATCATTGTTCGATCTTTAATTGCTACTTTTAATTGTCGTTGCGGCAAATCATTATATAAATGTAACCATCCTTCTATAGGTAAATTCATTAAACAAAGAATAGCTTCTGTTGCTAATAAATCAGCTAGAGCATCACCAACTGTTTCATTAATTATATCAATAAATACATGAAGTTGATTTGCAGCTAAACGTTCTTCATCTGTTCGACTATACGAAAAGAACATAATACAAAACAAAAATGTATTACATAGATTATGACTCGACTTACTTTTGATCTTCTAGTGCTGCTTTTACTTTACTCTTTAAATTATCACTAAATAAAACCTAAATAAATCTTAATTATCATTCTATCTATGACAAAGCAACCTACTGTTCCATGTCCGTTTGCTTCAAAATAAATACCAATATCATAATCAAGTGCTTTATGATGTAAATGTTTAACACCAGTTGGTACGCAGGCAACAGGAACTTTCTAAATGAAATTTTGTTTACTTAATTCTTATTCTCAATATAAAATAATTCTACCATTGTATTAACAATATAATTTGTTGAACTTCCATTAGCATATGCTGTTTGAATAACACCCATTTTAACTTGATCCATTAATTTAGCTTTTTTTAATTTACTAGAAATAAATGATGCAAATAAAACCGAAAAACGATCACCGTCAAGCATATGAAAATGTTGATTTTCATCAATAAAATAGTATATCAAACGATCAGCATCACCGTCAATTGAACAATATTTTGGGTAATTTGTTAAAGGTAAACCATCAGGTGCTTTTTGGTATAACTTAACATAATCAGCACCACACTAAATTAAATGAATAAGAACAATTATTATTTTAACCTTTTTCTTTCTCATGGAGAATTTTTAACCATCCGTTCATAAAAATTATCTATTTGGGGTAATCAAACACCGGCTCGAGACAGTTTCTGAACATTATGTAAAACCTTAAATAGGTTGCAAAGTCTAAAGAAAAAGCTTTCTTTCATTATCTCTCAGCTAAGATATAACCGATTAAGATGGCCAGTAGAAATGATAAAATGTTCGTTAAAAATCAAAGCCTTGGAGTTATGAGCGAATCTATGAAAGGCCAGAAATTAAAATTTAGACGAGTTTTAGAGCGCACAAAAAAATGCAACGAATAAAGCGTATACCAATAATGAAAGTTTTGATAAGAGGTAGAGTG